AGCTGTGCATTTATCACAACATTGCTATGAGAGACGGGAAGGGCTGAAATAAGATCAGTGTTTAGTCAATGTCTGTGTTGCTTTCCCTCCCCCATATCTGCACAATATCTTCCCTTACAGCTCTTTGACCCAGAGGTTGAAGGATGCTTTGCATTCCAGCTAGCAGTTGAATGGCAGCGTGGACTAATAGAGAGGGCATTGAATAGGCCACAGAAGACTTGGGTTCTAATTCTTGACCTGCTGTGTGATCTTGGGCAAATCACTTAACCCGTCTGTGCCTCTGTTTCCCCTTCCACCCTTTATCTGTGTTGTCAATTTAGACTATTTAAGTTTTTTGGGATGATCCTTTTCTTTGTGTTTGTACAGTGCCTTGTGCAACAGGCCACCAATCTCAGCTGGGTGCTCCAGGGACTACCATAATACAATTAGCCAGGAGACAAAAAATTGTATTATTATTAGCAGGAATCCAGTGGAAAATCTTCTTTGGCATGAAGGACATTGAGAGGCTGGGATGCAGCAGAATCTTGCATTGTGTCATACGTGCTGTCGCATCAGTAACTTGCAGCCTGAAATCACTGCAGGTATGTTGAAGCTGTCCTGTGTCAAAGTCTTCAGGCTTCGCATCTTTGATAATGGTTTGTCTTCCAAAGGAGGCTTGTATGAGATGCCAAGAGCATGACACAGACTTGGTTGACCTCATGAGTTACCGTATGATCACAGACTTGCACTCATGTTTTTTATTCCATTCAATGGGCCAGATTCATTCCTGCTATCACTCTGCTGACTTTAACTTGGCCCAAAGTCTAGAACAGTTTGCCCATTTACATTGGTTGGGCCCAGTCCATTGGCGTCAATGGGAACAAGGTTGGAATCTTAGTTTAATGAGGTAAACTAAGCCCCATTCATGGCTGCGTATAATCTAGATACTAATTTGAAACCCTCACATTTATTCTGTATTGCATTTTCTGTGACTGCATTCTCTCTCTCTATTGTCTCTGTCTCCCTGAGGTAATACCTTTATCATGCCAGCTCTACGAACAGCACATTCTAATCCCAATAAATGTTTCACATTACACAAATGAAACATGCAGACTTGTATTTAAACACATGCTTTTTAAGAATTGATTTAACTGCAAACTGTTGTTTTTTTAATGCTATTTCCAAAACTGTTGATACATCCACATGCCCCTTGATGGATCCAGTTATAATCTGTAATTATTTTCCCTTTTAGGAGCAAGTAATGTTCCCTAATGGTTAAAGCAGGTGACTCACTGGGAATAGGGATTGAGAGGTTTTGTTTCTGGATCTGTCACTGAGTCTTTGCAACTTGGGACAAGTCTCTCAATCTCCTTACTCCTCTGTTTTCCTTCTGTAAAATAAATATAAGAAGTCATTGGGCTTAATTAGTTTTAAGTGCTATGGGATCCTGCAGTGAAAGGTGTTATAGAAGGAATAACACTTAATCCAAATTGTACAAACTGTATCCTGTACCCAACCTGTTTAATACTTTTAGCCATAGTGATTCAGCAGAGGGAGGTGGTGGTACTGAGGGGAAGTGCTAGGGTAGTATGCTCACCTAAAGCAGAGATTCTGAGCCTTTTTCTGATTTGTCATCCCAAATCTTCCTACGTGTAACTTTCAGCCATGCCCACAGGTCCTCAGATCAGGTGCTGGGTTCCATGGTGCTTCAAAGTGTGCAGCATAGAAATAGTGGATTTCTTTATGTGCTGTTGCTGGTAGCTGAAATGGACGGGTGGAATGGTTGCATGCAAGTGGCTGAGTGAATCCATTTAATCAGACACTGGCAATGGGAACAAACTCACAACTCCTCAGACAACGGCAGGTGACCCCCTCTTGACTATCTCTGGCCTACAGAGCACTGCTGAGAAAACTTCCTTTCAAAAACTGAACAAGTGTATATACACCATGACTCCTTGGAACTTTTATAGTGGGGGGCGGGAATAGAACTTAAATCCTCCTACTCCAAAAGTACAGGCCTCCAAATCTCGTTTCCAGTTTTCGGGTCTATGATGTATAATTGAGCAGTTTTAATTTCTCCAGTAGAGGGCAGTGGCAGAATGAGATTGGAGTGATGGAGAGATTGATTAGGGTGACCACTGCCCAGATGTCCTGATTTTACACAAACAGTCCTTGTTTTTGGGGCTTTGTCTTATGTAGGCACCTATTACCTTCCACCCCCTCCCGATTTTTTACACTTGCTATTTGGTTGCCCTAAGACTGATTGATTCCTAATAATGGAGGATGACCGTTGTGGCAGCATGTGGTATATCAGCTGATGCTTTGCTAGTAAGGCAAGATGACAAAGAGGAAGTTGAATCAATGTGTTTTGGAAATGAATGTTACTTCATGTTGGAATTGTATTTAACTATTATTATTAATTGTTATAGCACCCTATGAAGTGCTAATTATGTCTCAGAACAAACAGGAAGACACAATCACTGTCCCAGAGTTTGCCATCAAGTTTTAGGCATGACACAGCTAGTAAAGATAACCAATCATAGAAAGGTAGTGTTCTTTAGTGGTTAGAGCAAGAGCCTGGGAGTCAGGAGACCTGAATTCTAGTATCAGCTCTGACAAAGACCTGCTAAGTGTCCTTAGGTAAGTCACTTCTCTCTCGGCCTCAGTTTCCACATCTGTACAATGGCATTCATACCATTTATCTTCTTTCTAACGCACTTTGAGTTCTATGTAAATGCGAAGAACCAGGATTATTAAAGAGACGGTGCCAGGAAGGGCAGGGTCAGCAGCCGGGAGTCTGCACAGCCGCTCATTTTAGACAATTGTGCATCCTGATGGCTGAATTAATTTTTTAACAATAACTGGCTCCCAACGATGTTGTGGCTTTATTGAAGTGTTTGGTTTTTCATGTTGTTTTGGGATTAGGGTGAAAAGTGTGCAGCATAGACCAGTCTGGTCATTTGGCACTGTCGTGAACGAAGGCCTTGTCTCTACTGGCATTTTAGCCTACGCTGGTGGCTAAAAATCCAGCATACACAAGCCCCAAAATGGCTCTCAAGCTAAACAAAAACCAAGATGTTAATGTCCTGTTAATACTCTCGATGAGATTATGTGCATTTTATTGATCTGTGAGGAGAGAGTTCATTACAAGGAAATTTATGTTAAAGTTATTGGAAAGTTAAGCTCCAGTCTTTATCAGCATTGGCGTTTGTGTTGCTGGGAATTACCTCCCGATACAGGCATGTTTTCCCCATGCTGGGAGTCATTTCAATCATTTGTAACAGAGGTAGCGCTCAACTGAACTATGTGGTAAAATAACGTTCTAAAGAAAACCCCGGCACTCTTGCTTCAGTTACAGGATCCAACCTTTTAAATTCAAGATGAGCCCGAGCCGTGGAGTCTGGGTCCAGAGCCAAACTGGAACTTTCACAAAATTATTGGGTGACCATCACAAGCTATTGAACTTGATAATATTCACTTAAACAGCAGGGAAGATCGAGTTCTTCCAATGCCAGGATTATGGGTGGAGTTCTGCAGCCTGTGCTATGCAAGAGATCAGACTAGAAGATCATTGTACGTCCTTTCTGGCCATAAAAACCCGTGTTTGACAGCTCCTCAGCTGGTGACCTCAGTGGAGGCTATGGTGCTTTACACCAGCTGAGTGGTTCCATCCATCTAGGGACATTCAAGAGGAGTGGGATTCCGGTGCTGCAGTTTCTCATTCAAGCAGATCTGTTTTGCTTGTCTGGTGACATCAAAATTCAGTATCTCAGGGTAGGCTGGATCAGAGCTCTGTGAGGACAAAAGATTGGCATTTTTCCTCTTTAAACCAGTGGTCTGGTAGAATCCTAGAACTAATGTAAGAGGCTTGTGGTGATGTAGCGGAGACCTAGAGATGGAAGGTGGAAGGTCCTCAAGGTTCTTGGGTAGCTGGAGACAGCTAGGAAACTGGCACAGAGCAGGGACGGGCCTGTGAAGTGAAGGAAGCTGGTACCTGAAGCTCTGTGGAAAGGCTTGGATGTAATTATTCCCCACTAGTCTTACTACTGTCCCTACCCAAGAAGGTCTGCAGTGTCTTGCTGCTGTCATTTGGAAGGGCCGCTGAGAGCTTTTTGCTACTGGTTTCCCCTCAGTGGGTCCTTCAAAGCCAGTTTGGGGTGGTCGGTGGAGGAACTGGGGGGGTCGGAGGGATGCGAGAGCGAGAGAGAGATGCTGCTGCTGCCATGTCCCTGTTTAAGATTGCCAGGACTGTTATTAACAAGGGGCTGATGGAAGCCAGGCAGCTTTGCTGCCATGTGGGAGCGTGAACCACAGTTAGTGGCCTTACGGTCCTGCAGACCCTAAACGTAACCGTTCATCGGGCAGATAACGCTCACAAGCCTGCATGTTCCCCAGGAGATTCTTGCCTGCTCTGCTCTGCACAGTACAGATTGATTTAATTAATGTTATGGGATTAATTCGTTATTAATTATTTGCAAAGCACTTTGGAAAGCAGCCAAGTGAGAGAGAAGTGGTATTCAGTCACCCCGCTCCGGCCCAGAAAGGGTTAAAGCCAGCCCTTGGAGAGGGCTGGGGCTGAGCGAAAAGCCTAGGCTGATTGGGAAGGCGGCCACGCCCCAGTCAGGCTGCAGCTGGCCCTGTAAGCTGGCCCTGTATGAAAGGCCAGTGAGCCAGGAGCTGGCAGAGTCTCTCTCTAGCTTCTGAGAGAGGAGGACTGACTGTCTGGAGAGAAAAGGGTACCTGGAGTGGGGCAGGGTTGGGGGAAGGCCAGAGGGGCTGGGGAGCTCCAGCCTGGAAAACCCGCAGGCTGCAGGCCTTGTAAAGGCCAGAGAAAGGTACAGGGGCTGCAGAGGGGCAGCCTGGGAATAGGCAGAGGCAGCTGGTCCAACCCCACCTTGCCAATGATGAGTGGCCATGACAGACTGCAATCTGCCCCAGTGAGCGGGGGCTAGAGGATGACTGGCAGTAGCCACTGAGGGAAGGTGGGGATAGAGGGTTGGGGGTTCCCCTGGGAGGGGAGACCCAGAATGAGGGGGCACTGCCAGGGGGCAGCACCCCCAGGTAAAGGGGCACCGGGGTCTGGGAGGGACACAGAGGCCAGCGGCAGGCAAGACACCGGCCTGCAGAGGGCGCTCTGGCTGGAAGAGCTAATTCCCGAGACAACCAGCAGGAGGCGCTGCATCGGTGAGTCATCGCCTTGCTACAGGTATCAATATTAGTACAATTATACATTACCAGACCTTCAGATTTGAAGCATTAAGCTTCTGTGTTTGCCTTTCAGCCCCAATCAAGTATATATATTTTTTCCTGATTGCTGAGGATAGATACCCACAGATGTTACCCTCTGAAAATAGGGGTATTGAAGGTATGAAGTTGCAGGAGGGAAAGGGGTGTGGCTGAGAAGATAGCACTTTTGAGTTTCTCTGGAACAGTATTATGGTTTAATCTGTAGTGACAGTTTAGCCATGCGATATTATAACACAGCCCTCTTGGGCTAATAAGAATACTTTGCATGTACATAGATAGCCTCTTTCTTCAAAGGAAGCCAGAACTCTTTACAAACATTAATTAAGCATTTCAGCACTCCTGTAAGGCAGGTAAGTGGCATCATCCCCATTTTGAAGATGGTGAAACAGAGGCCTGGCATTAGTGATTTACCCAAGATCCCACAGCAAGTCAATGGCAATCTGTTTTTGGTTGGAACTGTGGTAAACCTCACAAGAGAAAATATTCTGTTACTGCGGAAAGATTTCAGACTACAAGAATTAACTGAGCTAACAGAGCTTCGGCCAAGTCACTTTGGTTAAATGTTCAGTGCACTTAGAAGACATTATTAAACTCTTAAGTCCTTTGCATGCCAAAGCAATAGAATCTGTCTAAGCATATTGGTTGAATTAATTTCCTTACCTATTAAGAATCTTTATTATATTAATTTTACTGGTTTATAAAGTGACCTTCAAAGGTGTGTGAGATGATGTAAAAGTTTTAAGATAATAATTTGAAACAAAAGTGGCCCAGGAACCAGCCAAGGGGTGGGGGAAACTATCTGAAAGGAATATGGGAAGCCAAAAAGGATGAATAGCAAAGCCTTACTGAGCTTTGAAAATAGTCACAGCGGGGACTCCAGTTGACACACACAAGAAGCAGTCCCATAGATGGCCAACTCCCCAGTGTAACAGAAGTCACTGGAGTTGGTGGATACTGATGCCTGTCATGTACAGGACACTAACCTTTTGTAATGCTGAGCTACATCCGGTGACTGGGGTCCAGGAATAAAGAACATTCTCTTAACCTCACTCTTGACACACAGCCTGTGCCAGATTCAGCCTTGGGAAGAAGTTTAGAAACAAGTCCCGCTGTAGAGGGACATGAGAAGATGGGCGGTCAGGTACATAGTTTAAGATTTTTTTTTTTCCTTTGGCTGTAACAAAGCCTCTTACATATTATTATCCTCTTCCCATGTAGCGTAGTGGTGCTGAGCTGGCCTTTTTCTGTGTTCACCCCAGTAGACGTGACTCCGCCTGTCTAAAAGATGTCTCAGTTCTCCTCAGGGCATCAAATATTCTGTTTTTAATTAAGCCTTGTTTTAATTCTATCAGTAAATTTTTCCTGCTGGTGGCACGTGTTGGATTGAAAGCCCTGGAGACCAAAGTGCCAGATGCAAAGAAAAAGGTAGCTGCAGTCTTCACTGACGTGCTTCAGCTCTGACTGGGAGGGGCCGTGTCGATGGGTAAGACTCTCCTTGGCCTCTCTGCTGAGAACGCTACCCAGAGTGGCAGTAACTGCCCTGGTTCTGACTGATGGGGGCAGTTGTCCTCCAGGTCTGACTGAAGTCCCCTCCTCCCCCCACTTAATTTCACAGCGTTGAAAATACTCTTCTAAATAAATAACTAGGTAGAAGTAGCTACAGTGGGTTATGGATTTGCAGTGCTCTATGGCTGGATCACCCTTTCTCTCTAAACCAGGTAAGATTATCAGTGTAACCCCACCTGAACTCAAGGCAATGGGTATGATGAACCCGTTTCTTTTCCCAGCATCTTGTCTGCAGCTCCCTGATTTGATACCATGCTTGTGAGCTTTGATACTCAGGTTGCTGTCTTGTGTTTGGATCCCAGGCATCTTCCCCAGTAAGAACCATCCGAGGCGTCTGGACGGTGGAGAACAAAATCCAGGCGGTAGCACAGCATCAGCCACCCTGGACGTGTTGCGGTTGTCCCTGGGGCTGGGCCAGATTAAACACCGCAAGGGTATGTTTGTCCCTGGCAGTCTGTGACTCGGGGTCATGGAGCGATGTCATCATGAACAGCCTGGAGAGCACATGAGGCAGATGGCCTGTTGGATAAAGCCCCACAATGCACCGCACGTGCTCACAACAAGGCTGGGAAGACCTGTTTCTAGCTGATGACCTTCTGAGGGTGTGGGTGCATCTACAATTCGAGCTGGCGTGATTCCCAGCTCCAGGAAACATATCCATGCTAACGCCGATGGCTAAATATAGCATGTAGCCACATCGGCATGAGCCATGGGAGAGGCTAGCGGCCCTGAATATGTGCCCATGAGTCTCAGGCAGATCATACGCCCAGGGTGGCTAGCTGCTCCTGCTGCAAATGCACTCTGTTTTTAGCGTGCAGACTCTCATTGAACTAGTGCAAGCACGTCTCCTTGAGCTGGGAAGCGCTCCCCCAGTTCCCAGTTTAGACGTATCCTCTAGCCAGCTGGGCAGGGCTGCTGTTAGGGCAGCTGTGGGAGGGCTGCAAACCCAGCTGTCCCCGTGAAGCCAGCTACAAAGCACTGCCCCACTCTGCCAGCTGAAGAGGCAAGGTCCTGGCTGCTGCAATTGTCAGAGCAGCCAGGGAGGGGAACCGGCCATTCCCACTGCCCTGAACAAGGCCTGCTTTCCCAGCCCCTGGAGCAAGGGGCTCTGCGTGAAGTGGGCATGAGCCCTGCCCCTGAGGACAGCAGGCCAGGTGGGGCAGAGGGGTTGCTCAGGAGAGCAGAGGGCCCCACTAATCTGTTCTGCGCATTGACTTTTCCTTTATTTAACACTAAAATGATGACGACTGCATTATTTGCCACAGCAGAGCCACGGCTTCTCCCATTTCCTGCCACAGCAACTAGCTTTGCTCATCACCAGTCTCCAAAGCCATCCAGCCCCATGTACCCTCTCCCTCTGCCGAACTCACAACCCTTTGGTGGCAGAATTGTTCCTCTAATGCTTGAAACCCGGTTGCTTTGATGTACTCTCTGTCTAGGCCGATGTGGTTTAAAATCCTTGTTTATAAATTCCAGTGCCAGTACCTTATTTTAACAGACATCTTTGCTACAGACCAAGTATGTGTAATTAGTGACTTGGCCCAGCTGAGCTCTCTTCTGGACATCCTGCAGCACTCGGAGACCCGCTAAGGAGAAGCTGGCACAAATCAAATGGACCTTTTTATTTCATGGGGCCGGAGAACAGTTTCGTTGTTCATCATAACAGCAGCTCGCTGCAGTGGGAAAGTGTAGTTCAATGAAGCATTTTACCTTCCACCCCAGGCTTCCCTTAGAACAGACAGTTGGCCAGTGTGGGCCTCTCTGGGGCTCAAGGAAAGCTTAGAAGTGAATGTAAGGAACCTACTCTAGGCATGCAGCAAATCTCAGCTGATTCTTCCTGCTGTATGTGCTGCTTATGCACCAAATGCCTGACTCTCTCCTGTGAAGGATCTGAGTTGGGCATTCAAATACAGAGGGGACCCTCCTGAGGGGCCCGGGTATTTGCTTGCCCACTCTGGGCATGCTCCCGGTTCATCCCTACTTTTTCATTTAGGAAATTCAGCCTATTGCCCAGGTCCTGATCCTGCAAGGGGACAAGCACTCTGGTCCAGATCCAGCAAAGCACTGAATGACACACTTAACTGTAAGCATGTGAGTAGTTAAAGTTAAGCACGTGCTTAAACACTTTGGCCTTGATCCAACAAAGTGCTTCTCACCTTGCAGAATCAAGCACGTGTGGCATACCTAGAAGAGTTATTCCAGCCCATCCTATCTGTGGGGTGTTGGCAAAGCAGGAGAACCCAGAGCAACCCATCAAAGGAGAAACTCTGGGGAACCAGGGCCTGCTCTCGTGCTGGCTCAACACTTGGAACAATCCTAGGCGAAGGACAAAGGTATCTCCTGCTGTCCCAGCCTGGAATGGCATTGCTGCCTAGCTTCTGTGTAAGAGCTGGGCAAAAAAAAATTTCAGCTGAAACTCTTTCTCTCTGAAAGATGCCCATTTGGGTAAACCAAAGCATTTCCGGAGTTCAGGTTGATTTCGGAGAAACAAAAAATGATTTATTTTTTTAAATGTCAAAATAAACCATTTTAACAACACTGAAACAAACCATTTTGATTTTTCAGGCTAGATTCACAAGGGGCTTTAGGTGCCATTCACAAAACTGGAGGAGGAGGGAGTGATGTCCCTGTTATAGTCAATAGCTCAGTCACCTAGCGCACTCACCTGGCACGGGGGAGACGCCAGGTTTGAATCCCCACTCTGGAGCAAGGACTTGAACTTGCCTCTTCCCCCTCCCAGGTAGATGAGTGATCTAATGACCAGGCTGTTGGGTACTTGGGTGGGAATCTTTCCTGTTGAAGCTGTTCCATGTGGTTTAAATTATTAACTGGGGCAGAGACTAAAACCTGAGTGTCGTCTGCCTTCCCCGATGAGCTATAGAGTCATTCTCACTTGCTCTCTGGCCCAACACCCATTCGAGTCTTTTATACAAAGTAGAGAGTCTTCAGTAGGAGAGAGGGAGAGCCCCCCACCCCAGAATAGCCGACATCCCAGTGGTGAGGGCGCTCACCTGCGATGGTAGGAGACTTGGATTCACATTCCTGCTCCCCAGCAAGGCGAGTGCCCTAACCACTGGAATATTGGGTATAAGGGGGTGCCACCACCAGTGGTTTTATGACTCTCGACCTTCATTTTCTTTACTTTTATTAAAGAAGGTTAAAAATGCCCCGAATCAAACTGTAACATTTCACCGCAGGTCAAATAGAACAATTTTTTTTCTTGTTTTCAGCTTCCCAAACGTTCCAGTTTCTGTTTGACCAGCGCTGTTTTTTTTTTTCCAGCTGGAACTGTGCCAGCGAACCAAAAAATCTGTTATTCACCCAGCACTTACTTCATGGGCTTATCGGCGCCCTCTCCTGGTGGCAGAATGGAAGATTAAGAAACACACAGCTGGGCGAACGAAACAGGAACAAACAAGAGTCCAGCTCCCTTTAGTATCTACTATCTGCCTTGCTCCTCCCAAGTGGCAGGGACAGCATGGGAGAAAACACAAAGGGGCTTATTTTTTTTTAAATGTAACATGTGGGCATCGTGGGCCAATGAAAGGCCAGCTTGATTGTGAAAGAGAGATGATGGGGGTGGTGGAGACTGACCGTGAAGGGCCTGGAAAGTACAGACAAGGTAGTTGAGAAGCTATGACTCTGTGTGTCCCGTTCAGCATTTCTGCAGTGTTAATCCCGTGTTTCTGACGTCCCCACCAAGGTAAGTAAAAAGTCAGGATCTCTGTATTATTCATATAGCAATTTGGGCCTGAGTCTCATTCTGGCAGTGTACAGAGGTCTTAAAACAGGTATAAAGGTTTTAAGGCTCCTTTACATTTCCTTAGTCGTGTAAAGGAGCCTTATTGTAAATGACAGTATGGCCTTATAAATGCTTAGGGTGCTTTAATGATTAGAACTGGTTTAAATATTGGACCATAGGCGCCAACTTCTCCTGGTGCCAGTGGGTACTCTGACCCCCCCCTGCCCCTATTGGACTCCTTCCCCAAATCCCCGCCCCAGCCCCGCTTCCTCTCCAGCCCCGCCGTGTTCCCACTCCTCCCTGCTCCCTTCCACAGCTTGTTATGCTGTGAAACAGTTGTTTTGCGGTGGCAAGCGCTGGGAGGAGAAGCAGGGACGAGGCATGCTCAGGGGAGGAGGTGGAGGTGAGCTGGGGCGGGGAGCTTGGCTGCTGGTGGGTGCAGAGTACCCACCAATTTTTCCCTGTGGGTGCTCCAGCCCCAGAGCACCCATGGAGTTGGCGCCTATGTTTATTGTTAATGACAGTATGGCCTTATAAATTCCTATGGTGCTTTAGTGATTCGAGCCAGTTTAAATTTTTGGACTGAAAAATGTTCCTATCAAAATCAATCTTGGTGGGAGCTTCACAAAGAATTTGCACATTGCTCTCTGCTGAAAGTATTGTTTTCTGTGGCTAATCATAGGTGATCACCACCTAAGAGCAACCTTCTGTGTCTCACACACAATACGATTCTCCAGTTTCAAAGCACTGTATCAACTTACCCAGGTGAAGAAAATTAGCATTTGCCACTTTTGAAAGCCAGACATTCATTCTTTGTTTCTTTATGCCATAATCTTTAATGTCTTCAGTTTGACATAATCCAGCTGTGCTTTCCAGCTCTGGGTTTGTGTGCTCTGTAAAGATGAGCACTAACAGGGCCTCAGTCCTTTAGGGTCTTCTGTCATGAGACGTAGGGATTGGGGAGCTGATCCCTTTTGTTACAGACCAGGCGCTGTCAAAGAAAGAGCATCCAAAAATAGAAAGTCTGAACTGTTAAAACAACCCAGATATGTGGAGAACATTATATTTTTCGTTTCTTGTGCAGTTCATCCAGGAGAAGAATTGGATCCAAATCCTTGCAGTTGGGTGGCAGTAACAATCTTGAACCTGGAGCTGCTTTTCACTAGCTTTATCTTTGTAGTGGGCTGACCCAAAATTCTGGATCCAAACATCCCCGAACTTTGGAGAGTTCCAAATCCAGATCCAAACTTTGCCTCTTCGGCATCTCTCCGCTAGTTTATAGACACTAGTAAGAGGCATAAGGGCTATTAGCCACATTCTGTGATTTTTCTGTCTTTGTTCTCATTGCAAAGACAGTTTGTACACTCTAAAAGTTGTGAAGTGCAGAAGGTCAGAGCTTTGGAGAAAAGATGGCAAGATATGCACATGCCTAATTCTAAAAAATGGGTGGCGAGAAAGAAACAGTATCGATTTCCGCAAAAGCATGTATTGAATGATGTTGCTTTAGTTCTTGTTTCAAGCCTTCCTTTCGTCACACTGCGATGATCCTCACACCTGTGCAGCCAACCCAGTTTTAAGACCGTTCATTCTGCCTAACCTAGACCTAAGAACTGACACAATTGTACTTTCCTGTTTGTGTGTTTGGAAGGCAGCCTTCTGGGATCTGTGTGGATATCAAGGGAGCGAGGAACCCTGAGTACTTTCTCTGGAGCAAAGAGGATTAAGAATGAGAAGGTAAAACTCCAAACAAGGTTCTCTAATGAATCACAATAGTCTACCCATCATAATAAAGTAGAGAACGAGTTCCTATTTGGCTCTGGGTGTGATTCAGGATGCTGATATTATTATTGCTTTATATAGTCATAAAGAGTGGGAGCCAGTGCAAAACCAGGGCTCCACTTGAATACCCAGAACAGGGGTTAAGTGGTGCATAGCCTCATGCAAGCCCTCTGTATGGAGGCAGATTTCACAGTGAGCCTCCAAGACCATTGTAGGTGCTATACAGACAATTTAAAAAGCTGCAGTCCCATCACTAAAGAGTTTACAGTGTCAGGGCCCTGATCCTGTGGACACCAGGCACATGGGACCTCAGTGAAGAGGTAGCATGAAAAGAGGCAGCAAAAGAGAGGGAGGGGGTTGGGGGATAAGGGTGACCAATACAAACTGATGAGTTCTCTTAGTGGTAGGCATTCCTCAGTAGAAATCACAGAATGGAGTTGTGGGTCGTTCTTGGCAAAGGATTGGGGTCTGCATATCTATGCATGTGTGCTCATTGGTAGGGCAACACCCTGTATGCATCCCCCTAAAACAGCATTAGGAATAGATTATTTGAGGAGGGGGGTGCTCACTGGGCTCATCATGGTTGGTATTGGCCCATGTTAACCTTGCTCCCATTTGCGAGTGATGACTCCTGTTTCCAGATGCCAGCCCTTTAAGTGTTTGACCATTTTGGACGGACTATGGCTCCCTTCTAGAAATCCTGTAAAATGTGCCATAGCCTCTGTCTGAGCTTTACTTCTGAACTGGCTTGCACAGTGGAAATGATTTCAAGGAAAAGGAGTACGATTTTTTTTCTTTTTTAGACTACTCCTATTCAGTTGATTTTTCAGACAGTTCAGTTGTTTTTGATTAGCAAATTTAGTGTCAACTCAATGAGTTATAGACTAGATGACCCTTGTGGTCCCTTCTAGCCCTGTGATTCTATGAATTGTTGCTTGACATAGACTGTTGGATAGATTAAACAAGAATGCAAGCAAGCATGCTCCAGCTAAAGCCTGAAGAGATTTCAGTGTTTTCCTTTCATTGGGATTGTTACGTCGTTACACAGTGAAAATTGTCAGACCCACCAAACTGTTTCAGCTTCCAGCTGCAGACACTGCAGAATTAATGAACTTCTCTGTAAACTAGTCGGGGCTGTTTCCAGGGGTGGGGGAAAAAAACAAACCCTTTAGGCCAGTCCTGGCTGGGGATGGTGGAGGGGGATAGTGGAATTTGTAATCCCGGCCAGTATAAACATTTAGCTTTTTCCTGTCCAAAGCCCTACCCCCAAGGGTCCACTTCAGGGTTCTGTGAAAATTAACCTCTTTGCACAACTTCCAGTCAGGGCTGCCGGGCTGCAGCAGGCATGGAGATGTTGCTCAGAGAAGGGACAGCCAGGCCAGGGCTATCCCTGCCAGATGTTGCAGCATTTTAAAGGCATCCTGGTGGCTTAAACATTCAGGAGAACTGAAAAAGGCACAAAACAAAAAAAAAACCAAATTTGGGCCTTTGGTTATATTCAGGCCCCTTTATGTCTCTCTGGTAATAAAAAAGACCTTAAAGTGAATGGAAACAGTCCCCTGAGAATACCCCTCAACAGAAGGCATTCCCAGGTGGCGCAGGGCTGGCACCAGGCTTCTAGTGTGAGAGATGTGTTGGGAGAATTGTAGTACAGATATTCTCTGCTTTTCTAGACCCATAGGGGCCATGGGAGCCAGTGTGTAAGTAAGTGCAGTCCTGAGGCTGCTCTACCTTACACCGTGGACTAGGATGGGGCTTGAATGGCGCTGCACAAAGATGTTTTAAAGCCACCTTTTCCACTCCACCCTTCCCCTGTCCCAAGCACAGTAGCGGGGTCTCTGGAGAATCAGACCCCTTGTGTTCTTATTTACTAATTGGCTTTCAAATTCAGAATCTGGGGAGGATTTTAACTCTGCCATCTCTGGCGGTCCTTCATGATACCTTCACAGAAGCTCAGCCGTGCTAACCCTCCGCCTTACCCAGAGGTCTAACTCTGGCACCCACCTTTATAAAACAGGCCAATCCTAACAAAAAGCCTTTAACATCTGAAGAGCCACGTTGACACTAGCTGGATATGGCAAAGAGCCATGAAAATGAAACTGATTTATCATTCCGCAGAGCACATAAGGAGTTTATAATAAAAATCACAGTTAATACATCGAAATAGCTGCAGGTTATGATAGAAGCAGTATTATTTAGAGCTTGCAGAGAGATCTGGCAGGTGGAGTCTGCCAGCAGCTTCAGCAGAAGTCTGGGTCTAGAGATGTCATTGCCACCCACCCACATAATAATAATGTTTAGCACTTTTAATCTTCATAGCTCCTTGCAAGTATTAACTAATTGAACCTCACAACTCTCATGAGGGCTAGGGCTAGTAGTCAGCTAGCAGCTAACTGGCTGGGCTTCTGGCTCTGCCACTGGCCCCCTGCACCTTGGATAAGTCACCTGGGGGCGAACTTTTAATTTTGGGTGTCAAAATGTTTGGGTGCTCAGCCTCAGGTAAGATGGGTGTGCAGCCTACGGTAAAGCCTGATTTTCAGAGTGCTGAGCACCTGCAGTTCCCACTGGTTTCAACTGGAGTTTGTGTGAGTTCTCAGCACTTCTTCAAAGGGGCACCAAGAAAACGGAGGCCACTTTTGAAAATCGTCCCTTTGCCTTTCTGTGCCTCAGTTTCCCCACCATGGGGCTAATCCTACCCAACTCACTGAAGTATGTGGAGGCTTCATTCATTCATGTTTGTAAGGTGTTTTGAGATCGCCAGATGGAAGGTGCTATACAAGTGCAAATTATTATGTATTACCCTAGTGGATTTTTTTTTAGTTGTATCCTTAAGAACCCCATACAAGAGTTAACGTGGCTGATCAAAATTGGGAGATTTCTTTGAAGTCATCCACTCCAACTATGCAAGCGTTACTGTACTAGCAGGATTTTTCTGAATGTGTTTTCTGTTTTGAGGCGCTGCCAATAAGGTTAGACTGGCACAAGATGAAGGATAATTGTGTTTTATTCTGTAGTTTCCTTGGTGCCTTTTCTAGCTATAATTGATGTCAAAAGATATATTGCCTGTCCCAGTAATTGTAGGAGTCCTGACCCAAAAAGGAGTTGGGAGGGGTCGCAAGGTTATTGTGGGGGGGGTTGCAGTACTGCTACCCTTCTGCGCTGCTGCAGGGGGCAGTGCTGCCTTCAAAGTTGGGCAGCTGGAGAGCTGCAGCTTCTGGCCAGGAGCCCAGCTCTGAAGGCAGAGCCCCTGCCAGCAGCGGCGAAGTAAGGATGGCCTGGTATGGTATTGCCACCCTTACCTCTGTGCAGCTGCCTGCAGAACTGGGGCCTCAGTCAGCAGCCGCCGCTCTGCAGCTGCCCAGCTCTGAAGGTAGTAGTGCAGAAGTAACGGTGGCCTGGTCTGGTATTGCCACCCTTACTTCTGCGCTGCTGGCGATGGGATGTTGCTTTCAGAGCTGGGCGCCCAGCCAACAGCCACTGCTTTCCAGCCACCCAGCTCTGAAGATAGTGCAGAAGTAAGGGTGGCAATACCACGATCCCCCTAAAATAACCTTGTGACCCCCCCGACCCCCCCCCAACTCCCTTTTGGGTCAGGACTCCCAGTTTGAGAAACGCTGGTCTCCCCCGTGAAATCTGTATAGTATAGGGTAAAAGCAAACAAAAGACCAGATTTCATTGGGGGGGGGACCAGATTTTACAGTCCATGACACGGTTTTCATGGCTGTGAATTTCATTTGGCTACTCATTGTCTTCACCTGGCTTTCATGGGGGTGACTGAAGGCAGAATGTGGGACAAGGCTTAAAACCCACTGAAGGTAACAGATGCTGTATAGTCAACTATTTCCTCCTCTGCTGCTGAGCAAGGAGTTCCTGGAGGTTGGCCCAGCTTTTGAGAAATACAGAGAAACTGGAAACTGTTTATAAAAAAAAAAAAAGAGAAAGAAAAGGGTGGCTCATGACATCTGTGGAAAAAAGTAGTATGAAACCTGAACGCCACAGCAGGAGCGGCCTTCATCAGTTCCAGCCAACTAGAAGTAGGAAACTGTAGTCTAGGAAATGTGCCCAAGTGAGTCTCTGGGCCTGATTCACTGCTGTGTTACTCCACTTCTATCCCATTGGCACGACACTGATCTCAGTGGACTCACATTGGTGTAAAATGCACTGCGGAATTAGGCCCCTTGTGTTGGAAGGAAGAAGTGTCGAAGCTGTGCTCTGAGTTACATGGATGTAGCTCACACTGATCTCAGTGGGACCTAGACATGTAATTCTGGCCAGACTGAGCCTTTAAATTGTATCGTTGCCAGCCCTGCAAAATGCTGTGGGATAGGTTCTGGTCTCATGTACCACTGAGGCAAATCCAGAGTAACCCCACTGAAGTCCGCAGGTTGCACTGGGATAACTGAAAGGCAAAATATTGCCCTTGGTCACCCAGTTGCTAAAGAAGGGTTTTTCATGTTTGTCAGAACAAAGCTCTCAGGAAAATGTATTACCTTTTGAGTTAGCAGGCACCATGCCCGAGTCTTCTCTGAGTTACGGTGGCATGAATCCAAAGGAACTCTATTGACTTCAGCGGAACCGTTCTGGGTTTATTGCTTTACCAGCTAGTCCTCTGGCCGACAGACTTCTCTGTGTGTTGTTCACTGCACTATATACACAGAAAGCTGGTTTTTCACAATGTGGGTTGCACCAAACCGTTTTCTTATTTTTGTGTATGCTCGTGTAAGGGAAAGAATGAATTGAAAAAATTAACAGAGTAAGGATTTATTTTGGGGAGGAAAAGGGGAATTGCAATAGTGCCAGCCCCTAAAATCATAAGTCAGACCCTAAAAAAGTCATGAAATGGTCTTAAAAAGTCATGAGATCGGGGTGCTGGAACAATTGTTATAGCGGGGTGCAGAGAACCATTGACCCAAACTGTAAACCCCGTGTATGATGAATCCACTTGAAGCCCGGGGGTGTGGCAGCACCCCTCGTTCCAGCATCTATGCATGAGATTAAAAAAAATAGGTTCTTTCTATTTGCCTTCTGGTTTTTAAGCTTTTAGGGTTTGTTTTCAAGCTTTTGTCCGCAATCACTGGCTTTAATGAAAGCTGAGACTAATCAAAGGATGCCAGGAACTGGAGCTTTAAGAAAAACACTAAATATTGCAAGACTGGTGATAAAATTGTGAGAGCTGGCAATGCTAGAAATGTGTGTGTATATCTTGGTGAGTTTCTATGTTTTGCATTTTTTTGCGGGCCCCTTAGTGAAGCGTAACACTTAATGATTAAAATGTGATTGTATCTAACTAATCTCTGAAAGACAAGTAATTTAGAAATTACGTAAAACGGGTCAAATCAGACATAATATTGTCCAACCCAAGCATTCTTCCATTTAAACCAGTAAACCAGAAGACCCATGTTAAAGTGGAATACTAAGAGCTGGAAACACACAGGCCACAAATGATCAACGCGTGAGCGGAAAGATCGGGAAATGAACTCTGCTGTAGTTCAAATGTCAACAATCCCTGCAGCCACCTTTGGTGGCTCTGATATCTGGGAATGGGCAAGATCTGAACAAATCAAATGCTAAAGGTTGCATTGTGGCCTCTCTCCCTGGGTTCAGCTGCAGCTGATATTAACCAGAGTTGCATGCCAGAATGTGGGTGAGTTCACCCGTGACATAATGGTGGTCCAAGTTACTCAGGTCAGGTGTGAGTGGATTAGAAAATGGGTGTGTATAGGAAAATAGTATAACTTGCATCAATGGATGTGCAGTCTGAGTGCAGCTTACAACAAGTAAGTATTCGTTGGGGACTAAACTAAGCCTTGGCATAAATATTGAAGTCAGGAGCTACATATGCTTCTTATAGCCTGGCTCAATTTGGCTCTGCAAGTGATGGCGATGGGGTAGGCATACATTAGATCAGGGAGGGGCTGCTCTCCCTCTGTGAGTTAAATTATCTGCTGTAACAGCCTGTTTACTCTTCTGCTTTTGTTTGCACAGGTTAACTCTGCTTAACTCTAGAATAACTCCATTGAAATGAACAGAGTGACACTCCACGAAAAGGTTAGTGAGATTAGTATCAGGCCCCTAGTGTACAGATTATTTTTAGGGTACTGGTCCAGTTTCAGATCTCAGTTTCCCTGGTGTACATCTGCACTCATTCCAGCAGCTTCAGTGGAGTTACTCTGCATTTACACCAATGTTATTGAGATCAGAGCCTGGCCCACTGAGATTCACACCAGCACACTTTGGGTTTATTTATCCTACAGCCGGAAACTGTGTTGAACCAATTTGCAAACATGGCTCTTCCCAAGCACAGTTGCAGCCTGGTTTGCCACCACTTGCACCACACTGCTGCAACTCTGTTCGGAATCTGTGCTATGGAATCAGCAGAGGGAAAAGACACAGCATGGTTTCTGCTAACTTGGTTGTTTTCTTAAGAAACCTTGTCCACAGTAAACATGGACACTGCTCAAATAGTGTTGTGAACAATTGTCAGGTACAGGGTACTTGTGACTTCGCTGCATTGTTATTTATTTCCGCAGCTGTAGCAATGCGTGAAGATATGCCTGCCACTGAATTTTGTGATAGGAAGTTAATTATCTTGCCATCTCTATAGCTCAATCTCATTCATTTGCCTCTGGAAATCTGTGGAGATGCATGGAGCTTTGGGAACTGAGCTCCCAGCTTCTTCCATGAAAGAAAGATGCAAAAACTTATCTCACTCCATTCCAACAGAAGAATGAACATGAAACCATATGAGCTGAAACATCTGATGTTTCCACTCCCCTGAGTGCAAGTAAGCCAGGCATCCTGAAATGAACAGAAACATCAGCACTGAGGTTTAGCACATCATTCTTCCCTGACATCTGGATTATGACTGCGAGGAATGCAAGAAAATGGCAGGTCATGTGACAGTCCTTCCACAAGGGGTGGAGGAATTTAGCTCTGATTTACGTACAGTTTTTCATAGAAAGCATCTGAAGATGTGTGACTGCTATGAAATTCCTCTCCAGCTAGTATGCCTTTCCTTAAGGAACCTGCACAAAATAGACATCACATGGTGTTCTTCCAAACTAATCATTTGTCACATAGAGAACGCCAAGCTCAGCCTGCAGCCCGTGGTTCCTGTCAATTGCCAGGGCTCACGATCTAGCCCACAGGATTCTTTTCACTTTGTGGTTGCTTCCTGCTTTGCCAGAAAGATTGCTGTTTGCTTACTTGTTAACCGCCTTGCTAGGGTTGCCAGCTTTTGGAACAGGGCCTGAAGCGTCATAATGTAACGTCATGGCCTTGCGCCACAACATGAGGATGCTGTGCAAAATCATCATCGTGTCACAAGACAGTGTTGTGACTTGAAGAGATTTTGTTGGCCTGAAATAATTTTGCAGACAGTCAAATCATCAGGGTTGCCCTGGTTAAATAGGGACAATCCTCTAAAGCCAAAACAAGAGGCAATCCTCTTCTTTCTTAGTCCCACGGAGGGCAGGAGGAGAAGCAATCATCTTAGTTTGCAGCAAGGGAGATTTAAGTGAAACATTAGGAAAAACTTTCTAACTGAAAGGGTTGTTAAGCATTGGAACAGGGTACTTAGGGAGGTTTTGGAATCCACATCATTGGAGGATTTTAAGAACAGGCTAAGTGAACACCTGTCAGGGATGGTCTAGGTGTACTTACTCCTGCCTCAGCAAGCAGGGATGGATCAGATGACATGCCTCAAGATCCCTTTCAGCACTACTGTTTTTATGAGGCTATGATTATATGCTTCTGCCAATGGACATAGCCTGGAAGTCTATGGAGCTCCCTAGCTCAGGCTTCTTCTCACAGTTATGCTCCGTCAACCTGTTCCTCCCATGGAATGACACTGCCCTTTAGTGAAAGGAAGTAATCACTCTCCTTAAGAGGCTTCTGCATTTAAAAGCAAAGGCAGTTGCTATACCATCAATCATTAGCCAGGCAAGACACGCCAATTGTTCTGACCTATTTACCACGCTACAATGCTCATATTTTAAAAAGTGATATGTCAGCTGCTCTTCCATCTTGTGTGGTGTTTTCTGTCAGGTTTCAGAGTAACAGCCGTGTTAGTCTGTATTCACAAAAAGAAAAGGAGTACTTGTGGCACCTTAGAGACTAACCAATTTATTTGAGCATGAGCTTTCGTGAGCTACAGCTCACTTCATCGGATGCATACCGTGGAAACTGCAGCAGATCAGCGGCACTGCTATGGGTACCCGCATGGCCCCACAGTATGCCAACATTTTTATGGCTGATTTAGAACAACGCTTCCTCAGCTCTCGTCCCCTAAAGCCCCTACTCTACTTGTGCTATATTGATGACATCTTCATCAACTGGACCCATGGAAAAGAAGCCCTTGAGGAATTCCACCATGATTTCAACAACTTCCATCCCACCATCAACCTCAGCCTGGTCCAGTCCACACAAGAGATCCACTTCCTGGACACTACAGTGCTAATAAACAATGGTCACATAAACACCACCCTATACCGGAAACCTACTGACTGCTATTCCTACCTACATGCCTCCAGCTTTCGCCCTGACCACACCACACGATCCATCGTCTACAGTCAAGCTCTGCGATACAACCGCATTTGCTCCAACCCCTCAGACAGAGACAAACACCTACAAGATCTCTGTCAAGCTTTCTTACAACTACAATACCCACCTGCGGAAGTGAAGAAACAGATTGATAGAGCCAGAAGAGTTCCCAGAAGTTACCTACTACAGGACAGGCCTAACAAAGAAAATAACAGAACGCCACTAGCCGTCACCTTCAGCCCCCAACTAAAACCCCTCCAACGCATTATTAAGGATCTACAACCTATCCTAAAGGATGACCCAACACTCTCACAAATCTTGGGAGACAGGCCAGTCCTTGCCTACAGACAGCCCCGCAACCTGAAGCAAATACTCACCAACAACCACATACCACACAACAGAACCACTAACCCAGGAACTTATCCTTGCAACAAAGCCCGTTGCCAACTGTGCCCACATATCTATTCAGGGGACACCATCACAGGGCCTAATAACATCAGCCACACTATCAGAGGCTCGTTCACCTGCACATCCACCAATGTGATATATGCCATCATGTGCCAGCAATGCCCCTCTGCCATTTACATTGGTCAAACTGGACAGTCTCTACGTAAAAGAATAAATGGACACAAATCAGATGTCAAGAATTATAACATTCATAAACCATTCAGAGAACACTTCAATCTTTCTGGTCACGCAATCACAGACATGAAGGTCGCTATCTTAAAACAAAAAAACTTCAGATCCAGACTCCAGCGAGAAACTGCTGAATTGGAATTCATTTGCAAATTGGATACTATTAATTTAGGCTTAAATAGAGACTGGGAGTGGCTAAGTCATTATGCAAGGTAGCCTATTTCCCCTTGTTTTTTCCTACCCGCCCCCCCCCCAACCCCCAGACGTTCTGGTTAAACTTGGATTTAAACTTGGAGAGTGGTCAGTTTAGATGAGCTATTGCCAGCAGGAGAGTGAGTTTGTGTGTGTGTGTGTGTCCCCGGGGAAAAAAAAAAAAAGAGGGGGGTGGGGTGGGGTGAGAAAGCCTGGATCTGTCCTGGACATGGCCCACCTTGATTACCATGCACATTGTAGGGAGAGTGGTCACTTTGGATGGGCCAGCAGGATAGTGAGTTTGTGTGTGTGTTTTTTGGAGGGAGGTGAGGGGGTGAGAGAACCTGGATTTGTGCAGGAAATGGCCCACCTTGATTATCATGCACATTGTGTAGAGAGTTGTCACTTTGGATGGGCTATTACCAGCAGGAGAGTGAGTTTGTGTGTGGGGGGGGTGGAGGGTGAGAAAACCTGGATTTGTGCTGGAAATGGCCCAACTTGATGATCACTTTAGATAAGCTATTACCAGCAGGACAGTGGGGTGGGAGGAGGTATTGTTTCATGATCTCTGTGTGTATATAAAGTCTGCTGCAGTTTCCACGGTATGCATCCGATGAAGTGAGCTGTAGCTCACGAAAGCTCATGCTCAAATAAATTGGTTAGTCTCTAAGGTGCCACAAGTCCTCCTTTTCTTTCTGTCAGGTTTGTGAGCTAAGCAGAGTCGCACTGAGTCATTTCTTAGATGGGCGACTTCCACAGAACGCCTCGGTAGTGTGGTGGCAGTCCTTCCAACGAGTCAGTTTTGAACTAGTTTGGAGACTTTAAGATGCTGTCTTTCAAATTAAATGTACAACCGGCGCCTATGGCTAGTACAGATCTTAGGGCAGCTTTTGTCAGAGTAAACCCAGTGCCTTGATGACATTACAACTTGAGTAATTATAGTCTGCAACCTGAGTTCCCCCGGGAGAGTCCCCCTTGGATGCAGCAGTCTTCTTTCTTTCTTGTTCTAATGGTTGTGCCATGCAATGTTGCTGTCAGCTGCTGAACAGCAGCTGCGGTCCAGAGGTGGTTGCATCTCACTGGTAGGTGAAGTGAGTTGCATATAAAGCTTGTATATCCATTTAAGTTTGTAAATTCTTTGGGATGAACGATCAGTATTTAATTGTAAGGCTCTTTCATGGTGCACTGAGCTTCCAGGATGAGCTTTTCTCCCATATCTTGACTCTGATAGAAAACTGCAGGCTTATAATGACCTAACTGTGGAAGAGATTAATTCAAGGATAAAGCCCTCAGTAGTTTCTACTCCATTATACACACATATATATATAAACGCCACTAAAGAAAGCATTCTGTGATTCTACCACAGATAATTTTAACATTAGTCAGTGCATCACAACTTGACTGAAAAAAAAGTAAAAATTTAAATTATAAACAGTTGATTTGTACTGGAAAATGCATTATATAAACTCAACTTGTTTTTCCCCTTTGATCCATATTGTCTGTGCTTCTAAACTACAATATTTGTGAGATGTTTTGCAGGAGATACCCATCCTCACAATGGATAGTTGGCAACTGATCCGGAAAATAAAGAACAATCTGTTTCCTGTTAAATGTTGCTGGTCACATTAATTTACATTGTTTGTCTCGTGTTTTACTGCTTCCGCATTGATGTTGCATTAAGATGGCTGGAGTTGAGGCAAGAAATCAAATGCAGGCACTGGCAAAGATTCTCTTACACTAATAAGGTTTTTCATGTCATCATTTTTTTTGTATGCATTGAAATACAAATACTGCAGCTGTCTCTCTAATTTCTTTAATTAGTGTGTGTTAATGCAGCGCTGGTGAAATTGCTGGATTGAAAAACCCTGGAGATTCAAGCCTTGGTACAACACAGGCGTTGGCCGTGCAAGCTTCTCCCGCTGTTGGACTTCACTTCCCTATGGGTTCATCTTTGGCCTTTCTGCTGTGGCTGTTGACAGTGGACTTAGTAAGTGCCAGTTGTGTTGATATTAGCTTTTGAGCCTGTCGTGTGTTTACTTGTCCCTGGGCAACTGAACTCTGACCTAAATTTCTCCCAAGCTATCAAACGGTGAATGGAACTTCCAATCGCTATCTGCCTTTCTGGATTTGAACCAGCATCCCACCATACGGGAAGTGTACAATATCTTATTAGCTGTCCTCTGAGTCTTCTGTCCCCCATAAGCAGTCTTGTTTGCCTTCAAACTGCAGCAACAAGTGATGGCATTGAAGGGGATTATTTCATCAGACACACCCTGCTATGTAACCACCGTTATGTGTCCTCCTACCCCAAATGGGACTGCTCACTCTGATTATTTAAAGGGAATTTAGAACGGGTGGAAGTTGCCAGTTTGACAATCCTGGAAACTAGAGGAGGCAGGTCAGTCCATGGAGCAGCTAAATGTTCATGTTTGACACTGAATGGACATTATATGCTGGGTCAAAAAATATGTGAGATAAAATTAAGTTGAGAACAGCGTCTTGTTGGGATAAAATCTGACAGGATCCAGTTCTTTTTTCTTCACTGTCAGCTTCTTTAGATTGCAGAGCTGCCTACAACCCTACCCCTGCATCTCAGGGTTCTTAAGATAAAGGCAAGATAAATTAAGCACATGGGGCAAATCCCGGTCCCATTGAAGTCAGAAGGAATTTTGACATTGACCCCTTTAAAAATGGGATCCTCGGGTTTTTAAATAAATAGGTCTTTGATCAAAATCAGCCTCTCCTCATGTGCCTGCCAGAGTCTGAATTGTCTAGTGTCCTCCAACTGCTAAACTGGTCCTTATTGTGCTGTCGTAGGTGGCTGCAGTGGCACTGGTTTGTTGGGAAAACCCAGAACTCTGAACAGAACAGGTAAGTGAAAAAGAAGGACTTGTTTGTCTGTATGAATATGTATAGTGCAGATCGGGTCTATCTGGCTGTAGTTGTTAGGTGTGTTGCAGATTGGGGGCCCTGAGCTGTCTGATGTGATCATTCATGTTGGCCGACAGGATAAACTTCTGCAGACACGTCCAATAGTTAATATCGCACCTGTGATATCTCTGTACATCACCGATAGCCTCATGCACCCACATCACCTCATTGTCTTCAGCAGAGCGTTGGGGCTTCAGCTGGTGTGGGTCGGGCCTGAGACATGCTGTACAAGCAGGCCCTTAAGTAGCCTAATGATGCCCTCCATCCCTCCCCCATCCTTCACTAGCCATCACCAGCGCTCTCCTTTGGTCCTCTTCCCTCGCCTCTCTCCTTGACTCCCCCCCCCTTCAATCACTCCTGCTTCCTGCCCCTTCTTTTTTCTTTTTGCTGTTCCCTGGGGCTTTCTATTAGGACTCTTTTCCCGACGCTGCTCTTTCTTCTCCTATGGCTCCCCCTCTTGCTCAATTAGTCTCCTCCTTTGGCTCCTCCTCCATCCCCCTGGCTCCCTATCTTGCTCCTCATTTCCTCTGCTCTCTTCCCGGTCCCATTCACGGTTGCATTGGGTAGCAGAGCAGCACTCCCCATAGCCTTTCTCTGAGTGTGTGTGTGAACGTGTGCACCCACTGGCAAACTAGCAAGTTCCATGTAAGGGGAAATGGTTAACAAATGCCAAAGGGAAAAGCAATCACCACTTGTCACTGATAAGTTGCATTGTACTGCCAAAATGATTGCCGTAGTCTCCTGTCCATTTTTTCTCTTGATGGTCTGACTGACTCACCAGCACTTAATATAACTCAGGTCATATGAAATAATTAATTTAGCTCATGTCTGTCTCCAGCAACACGAGTGCTGCACCTGATACAGCTGCTAACTGCTGCCAGCGTTTGCTGTAGAGAACTGAGCTTCCATAAAGAATCAACTGCTTTCCACCAGGCCCAGGTTACCTGAAGGCTGTCTGCAGCAACCCTAGAAAAGGCAGCAGAGCAAAGCCGTGATCTTGGCCCCAACTGAGCCCAAGGACTTGGAATAAAAAGGCCGGAAATAAGGACAAAAGCTTCTCACAAGCCATATTCATAAAGAGCTTTACAAGAGCTGTCAGATAGCATTGGCTTGGAAGTGTTTCTATCATTTTAAAAACTATTTTTCCCTATGGAAACATTTTATAGATTTTAATGACAGGGTAGAAACCAGTGGGGTTCTATAGAAATCTCTCTAAATCACCTATAGCCAGGGGTTCTCAACCTTTTTCTGTCTGAGGCCCCCCACCCCAAAAAAACGTGCTATAAAAACTCCACGGCCCACCTGTGCCACAACAACCGGTTTTCTGCATATAAAGGCCAGGGCCAGGGCTGGCATTAAGGGGTAGCAAGCAGGGCAGTTGTCCAGGGCCCCATGCCACAGGAGGCACCACGAAGCTCAGCTGCTCAGGCGTCTGCTTCAGCCCCAGGAGGTGGGGCTTGGACCCCAGGCTTCAGCCCCATGCAGTGGGACTTCGGCTTTCTGCCCTGGGCCCCAGCAAGTCTAACACTGGTCCTGCTTGGTGGACCCCCTGAAACCTGCTAGCGCCTTCCAGGGGCCCCCGGAGCCCTGGTTGAGAACCACTGACCTATAGAATGTAACAGAGAAATTTCAGCTTTCGGCAGAATTCTTAAAACAACGTATGGAGTTTAAAAGGGATCCAGTGCACAGAATACTGGAGTCAGGAGACCTTGATACTGTTCCAGACCCTGCCACTGAGCTGCTGTGCAACTGTAGGCAAGTCACTTACCCTCTCTGTGTCTCAGTTTCCCCACCTGTAAAATGGAGATAATGCTCCTTACCTTCCGAAAATCTTTTGAAAAATGCTACCAAGAGCTAGATTATTATGTTGTTTTATTAATTATATCTCTTCTTATGGACTAAAAATTGTGCCTCTCAGCTCACGACATCTAAGGACAGAAAGTAAAATATTTACCTCATTTATCCCTCCCTGATCCCCTTCCTGTGGTGTTGATGCCAAATTTAGCCAACAGATAAGATTTCAAGTATTCAGAAAAGCTCATTGGATGCAGTGTCCAAATGATCAGAGTTTCACAAGGATATCAACATTCACATCAGAGCAAAACAAAGATGAGGAAAGGATTTTTTAAAAAAATCTGTGTTCCTCTTCTCTATCTTGTCCTCTGCAGACTTCCTCTTGTTCTCTCAGGGGATGGCCCGTAGGCGAGAACCTCACTCATTAGATCAACCAGTGTCCTCATGGTGTGTCTTGAAGACCTGATTTAAATAGAAAAGGCAATAAACCCTTCTGGTAATAACTGAGAACTCAGCTATTCTCCCCAATGTGTATTTATTCCTGGGCAGATCACTCCCGGGTGAGGGATGCATACTCCATGTTGAGTCTTTTTCAGAAAACTGTATTTTTGGAAATATTGCTAGGGAGCATCAGGCTAGCATCCTAACATCACCCCAGTGCTCAGGGCAAGGTGCAGTTACTGAAATGCCCGTACTTGCCATTAGCTATTCCACAAGCAGCAGAACAGGAATGGCAACATCTCTGGAAAGAGTCTGAATTTGATTCTTTCATTTAACACTTGAGCTCATTCAAAAAGAGAAAAAAACAGCCTCCCCTATAAACACTGGATGTTGCATTATGGGAGGAAAATAGTCTTTGCATGCAGTTTCATCTGCTCTTATTGTGCTAATTATAATCCAGCCAGAAACCAAGCCTATGTGTATGATCACTAGTGTTGCGAATAAAGACAATGTTGTTCTTTCAGTGCTTTAAAAAACCAACAATATGTTCACACTTTTACTGTTCCTCGAAAACTAGCCAGCTAATAAAAAGAAGATTGACTCACTGGACACGCATTGTACAGTCGCTGCTTTTAAAGGAACGTCTGTGCCTCCTAAGTGAGTTAGATGCCAACGTATTTAGATGACAGGACATTTTTGTTTTCAAATCTGCCTGAGTGGCAACTGGAAAGTGATAGTCTCTGATTTTTATGCTGGAGATGCTGGCACTGCAGAGTAATTCATCAGATGGCAAGCAAAGTGCAGCAGTAGGAAAAGGTTTTCACAGATGTTTCACTGCCATACTTGTAAACAGAGCTCAGTTGAATAGCGTTAAATTGATGCAAACAAAATTCCATTTCTTTGGCACTGAAGTTTTGAAACCCCAGAGCTGAGGGTGGGCCCCACTGACTAACACCCCCTCATGCCATTTCTAAGACTCAGCTGAGATCATTTCTGTATTACTGGCATTATAATTAAACTAATGGATACTTAGCTCATTAACTGGCCATTACATGTTCTACAACCCTCCATTCATCTTACATACTCAAGGCTTGTCCTGCAAAGTGCTGAGTATCCTCAGCTCCCAAAGAACCCATGGTGAACTTAGCATCTTGCAAGATGAGGCCCTTAGACAGCACGTAACTCATTTCCACCTTAGAAGGGCAGGATGGAGTGCTGGGCTGCTTCCCCTTGTGGTTAGCACTCTGCACTAGTAGATGAAAGACCCACATCAAATCTCTTGTCTCCTGGGCCAGCTAGTACTGGGGGGCGGAGCTTTGCATAAGCAGCCCTAGAAGTGGGGGGTTCTAGAGATAGCCCTGCAGTTTGCCTGCTTGTTGATCTAGTAGCAGCCCAAAAGACTCCTAAAAGAGCTGCAGGCCAAAAGGTCTCTGTGAGGTAGAATCTTTACAGACAGAGGAGTTAAAGAAGGGGGGAGGGGAAATTGGGCCAAGGAATCTTCATAGAAAATGCCCCCCGTCCTCCAAAGCAGAATAGCATGCAATCTGTGCACATCCATCAAGCCACATAGGCAGCTGTTTGCAAGCCAAGTATATGGAAAGATGCAAAAGAGGGGGAGCATTCACTCATGCTTTGTGAGTGGAAACATGGCTATTTATTGAACAGCTAAAGCTGCACAAAGACTGGGAAAAAAGCACAACTTCATACATCCCGAAGCACTGTACAGATGGGCGGAAAAAATCTCCTAATGAAATATATTAGATGTCTAGTTCTCCATGCCGACTCGAGCAGAGATGAAAGTTGCATGAAGATATTCATAGCATAATTATTTTTCCAGCTTGAAAATGCTAGAAAATACATGAAAAGACCAATTTTTAGCTGTCTCATATATAAGATGAGTGACATGAGATTGGGGACAGATGCAGGGATACAGAGCCTTTAATCCAGTGGTTCTCAAACTATTGTACTGGATGACCCCTTTCACACAGCAAGCCTCTGAGTGCGACCCCCCCCTTATAAATTAAAAACACTTGTTTATATATTTAACGCCATTATAAATGCTGATGCAAAGCAGAGTTTGGGGTGGAGGTTGATAGCTCGTGACCCCCCCCATGTAATAACCTCATGACCCCCTGGGGGGTCCCGACCCCCAGTTTGAGAACCCCTGTTTTAATCTGTAGGCTGCTGGCTGTCTTGGGTTATTAGTGAACGAGGGTCACTACCAGCCAAAGGGAGTTTGACGGTCTGTGTGTCATGAGTTTGGTGGTCTCAATCCAGTTCCTATTGAACTGGTATCCACATCAGAAAACCCATCATAACAGGTAGTGCCCCTGTTGTTGTCAGTGTGATCAGAGACACCAAGGGCTAAACAGTGGACTTGGAGGCTGAACTATCCGCTCCTTTCCAGAGGTATCCTCAGCCAACAGGTTGGTTAGTATGCGGGTGCTTGCACGGCTGCTGCTCGTCAGATCTACAGATGATAAAGCAAACAGGCCTGATTCTCTGTGGCCCCACACCTTCCGCGGGATGCTGCATTTTGTGTCCCCTGTGCCAGGAGTGGGAAATTGTGCCCATGCTGTGACCTCGGTGTAGCTCTGCAGGGCATGGGATTGGAGGCATTTTAGTGTTGCCAGTACAGACTTAGCTGCCAAGGTGATCACTACGAGTTGCACTGGGCGCATAATCAATACACAAGACGGTCAGACCAGAGAAATAAAATGGGTAGCTGGGGGAAGTCATTTAAAAAAAAAAAAGTCCATGTGCCCCTAGAAACCAGGGAAAGACACCAACATTCTTCCATGCCAGACAGCATTTCCTAGGGTTTAATGTCTGGCAGGTTTATTCTGTCAGTAAGATGGGCTGTATTAGGCCTACGGCATGATTTGAGGCATAGAGATGTACATCTTTAGCAGACGTTAAACGTCTTTAAGTGTGTTGTGAGGAGGTGTGGACAGATGTCCTCGAATTAACGCCAGTTGTGCCAGTTATCCCTGAGCTTAGGAGAGCATGAACACAATTCTCCAACTTTGGAGCTGATTTTTGGAGCCTGAGTTTTTCCATTGACTTCAACGGGCTTTGGACCAGGTCCTTTGGGAGCAGCCTCCTCTTCTGACTATATCTTAAAGATGAACTCAGGGTCTATTCTCCTTGCTGAGTCTCAGGTACTTCCACTGTTTGCTTCCCTATGCTTTCTAACAAGCAGCGAGTCTTGGGGTACCCCAAATAGCAGCGCTTGCCTGATTGTGTGATTCTGGCATCTGGAGAAACCAACAGAACTTACAAGTAAGTTCCTTGGGGCAGGGATTGTCTTTTGGGGCTGTGTTTGTACAGCACCATGCACAATGGGGACCTGCTCCCTGACTAGGGCTCCTGGGTGTTCCAGTACCAAAAATAACAACAGTCCATGGCAAAGTTAGTGTGTGCACAACCGAGGGGCAGTTTAACAGGGTCCACTATAAAACAGGAAGCAAAATGTATCATTCAAGCCCCGATTCAGCCAAGCACTTAGGTGCATGCTTAACTAAAAAACATGAACTTAAGTCTATCCTTATTTGGCGAAGCATTTAAATACATGCTTAATGGAGTTGACTTAAGCATGTGCTTAAAGTTAAGTATGTGTTTGGGTACTGATTCAGCCAAGCAGTAAGACAGAGTTATGCCAGAGGCTGGTGAGTGATGTGAGCAGGTCCAGCCAAGTACGAGCGGTTCAAGTCCAAAGCAGCGATATTGGTACATATGCAAGTGGTTTGGAGCTGCTACCCTAACGCATCATGCATCTTCGGGACAAAAGAGTTCCCTGTGCTTATCGAATAAACCAGGCCCAGTGCCAAGGATTCTCAACACCATATCGTGCCAGCACCGTCCTTCAAATTTCTGACAGCTGAGAGTCTGGCCCCCTGTTCCTTAATTGTGCCTCAGCCCTGGCTTGGACAGATCAGCTGCAGAGATGAGGGGAGTGGAGTTCGGTCTCTGTGGACCACTCAGGCCTTGGATTCTCTGCTGAAACTGGCAACAGGGGCATCAGTTGTAAGACTGTTCCTGTGCTATGCATACTTGTCAGTTAGGAACTAAACTCATATTATATAGGCCTCTGAACTGCTCTTAGATGGCAACAACTTTCAAGGGTCAGTTCTCCCCTGCAGCTGATCTTTGCTAACAGAGACCCAATCCCACTTCCCTGACTGCTCTTCTTGGCATTGGTGAATCTGAAAGCTGCAGGGCGGCGACTTGAACTTACGCTGCTGCGAGGCAAACCTTCCATCAGCAGAGAATCAGGTATAGCGGAGCCTCGCTCTGCCAGCACCCCTCCATTCTCCTCCCATTTTCTCATTGACTTGAATGAAGTGAGGATTTCACCTAAAGGCTATGGCTAAACTAGGCATAGCCAAACCCAGCTTTCCTGACTCTCCCGGTCCTTTGTGTGAGCCACATGATCATTCTTCCCCTTCGCGCTCATAGTATCTGTGCATAGCATTGGTGCACGCTGTAGAACCCCCAGGCTAGAGTACTTTCACATCTGTTCAGAGGCAAAAAGAAATAAATAGTAGCCCCAGATTATTAGGTTTGCTGTCAAATGACGAGCAGTGTTTTTTTATAATTTAACACAGTGTTTATACACTGGCTTCAACAACTTCTTTGCTGAGCGTTAGAATCTCGGTTAGTGTGTCTGCCTCTTGGAACAGGGCAACAAGACTTTGTGTGTATGCTGTATAATGAAATGTTTAGCAGCCTAATTGACCTATGGCTCCACTTTCACTGCAAGTGTTAATTAAGGAAGGGAAACATGGGTCAGTGTTTGGCACCAGCCATGTGCAGCGGCATTTTCATTTTCCTCTTTCCCTGGGAGGATATTTATTTTGTTTTGGAGGCACTGCACCATTGCAGCAGACAAGCAGTCTTTAGAGGGACTGAGCATGTGAATCACAATGAATGCCATTAAAAAACCCCAACAACAGTAAAACAATAAAGTAAACTGAAAAGAGCTGTTTAATGGACTGAAGTGAACTGCCTGGCTCAGGGGACTGGTAACAGGATACTGAGTGTTTCAGCTCTAAAACACCAGTTCAAATCCAGCCCTGATTGGTTGTAAATAACATTTATTATGGCCTTCTGATGGCTGCATGGGAGCCCATGTGAAAGGAATGTATGGGCTCTGTCCAGTTTTTAGTGGACATGTGTCTGTATTACAAAAATCCCCAACCAAACACCACAATGCCCCAACTCTGTAGGTGCAGTGTGGAGACCGAATATCTAATTTCTCTCGCTACTAGTGATGAGTTCTGCTTGTCATCGTGTGGCAGATGGAGGAATGGCCCGGCCTGGGCACTACCTGTCCTGTTGACAAAAGAGAAAACGTAGGGATGGCAGGCTTGTCTGTACAGTGCCATTCCCCAGAGTTAAATCAATTTAAAAACAAGGCAGATTTTCAAAAGTGGCTAGAGTTTCAAAAGTGCTCAGTTCCCATTTATCATCATTCACTTGTTTGCTCTGTGGTAGTGTCTCATGGCCACGCCTTCATTGTAGAAACGTACAATAGAGACAGTCCCTGCCCAGAAAGGTGCCTAATTGAAGTGGTCAGATTTTCAAAAGTGATCTGCTTCCAGCAGTGCCCTGGGATCGAGCTGTGGATGCTGAACACTCGAAAACCTGGCCCTCAGGCGATGGACCCTTTCCTAATATCAGCCTA